TTATTAATGTCATATAAATGTCAAGGGCCTATCCCGTTTACTATTATAATAAATAAATATAATAATATTATATTTTGTATAGATCTTCCAATAGAATTTGCCGAAGAGACTGAAAATATTGCAGGGCCATCTAATGCTGTGCCAATGCATAATCCTATGTTTGAAGATGTGCTTGATGATCATGTTGATGACAGTTCTGAAGAGACAGATACTCAATGTAGTAAGAAAAAAAAAAGAAATAATAAAAAGAAAAATCGTCCTGATAGTGACATGGGCTGGAAAAAAAAATTAGATCACCATGTCAATATTCCAGACTATAATGATTTTGAAGGTATTTTTAATATTACTTGTTTATTCATAATTTAATTTAATTGTTTATGGTACATTATAGGTACTTAGTATGTTTAATATAAAAATAAAATTGTTATTGAAATTGTTATATAGGACCAATTCATGGATTTTTTGTCAACTGTGCAAGTCCAACTGATGTATTTCTTCAAGTGTGTGGCCCTATTTTGGAAAATATCTGTGCACAGTCTAATTTGTATGCCACTCAACGAGGGAAAACTTTGAATTTAAGAATTGAAGAATTGAAAGCTTTTATTGGTATTAATTTTGTAATGGGATATAATAGATTACCATCCTGGAAAGATTATTGGTCAACAAGTAATGATTTAGGTGTAAAAATAATTTCTGATGCTATGAGTCGAAAGCGGTTTGATGATATTTTGTGTTTTTTGCATATTAATAACAATAATGCTAAGACTTCTGATAATAAGGATAAACTTTTTAAACTAAGACCACTCCTYGATTCTATCAATATTAGATTCATGGAATTATATAAAGTGACTAGAGAAGTGAGTGTGGATGAGTCAATGGTTTTATTCAAAGGACGTAGCTCAATAAAGCAATACAATCCAATGAAGCCAATAAAAAGAGGTTATAAGATATGGTGTTGGCTGATCAACATGGATATATAAGTAAGTTCTCTGTTTATCAAGGGAAAGAGGAAGTAATTGATGACTTTGTGGATTTTGGTTTGGGTGAGAGAGTAGTTCTAAACCTAACAAAGCCTTATTGGAATAAAGGAATGAAGGTATTTTTTGATAATTATTTTACATCTATACATTTATTAGAAAAATTAAAGCTAGAAAACACCTTTGCATGTGGTACCATACGATCAAATAGAAAGGGTATTCCACTTCTAGCTCATGATAAAACTTTAGAAAGGGGCATGTATGATTTTAAGACCTCTCGTTTAGGTATTASTGTTTATAAGTGGAAGGATAATAGAATTGTACACTTGGCATCTAATTTCCATGGTGTTGAAGAAAGTAGTGTATTGCGAACTGAACGTGATGGAACAAAAAAAACTATAAAATGTCCTACTGTAGTTAATGATTATAATAAATACATGGGGGGAGTAGACAAAGCAGATCAATTACGAGCTCTATATAATATCAATAG